TACTAGTACTAGTAAATCTTCTGTACGCTAGTGTGGAAAGTCGTGCGAGCGAATTTACAGCAAATGGTACTGCGAGAAAATGTAAAAATAAACAAAAATAAAATGAAATTGAAAAACAAAAGAGAACAATTACAAAAAATATAACACGAAGGGTATAACATAGGGGGTTATATTGATAATGTAGGACTATATATATATATATATATATAAAGTTTGTTATATTATATTATATTATATTACAATATATAATATTGTAATTTTCTTAGAAATATATTCCTTATAAGAAATTATATGTCAATAACATATATATAATATATAATAATATATGATATGTTTAATATAATATCTAGAGTGGTGGTGGTGGTGGTGGTGGTGGTATCCTTGTGGTGGTTTCTATCGATGCTCGCTGGCCAAGCATCACACGACAACACTAACAGCAATGTTCTTGTGTTTGTNAACTTGTGCTGCCCCACACCACACATCTGTTGATTCTGTCTGCTGTAACTCACACGTGCACATGACGTGTCACACACAGGTGCGCGTCGGCACGGTGCTGCTGCCGTTCTTCCCCGACGACGAGATCGGCAGCTTATCCGCCGAGCGATTGCTCGCCTCGTTCCCAGATGGCGCCCCCGTCACGCCGTGCGTCGGTGAACCTGTGTGTACGGTGGAGCCGTGCGGTGACCACGGCACCTGCCACGACCTGTGGAACATGTTTGAGGTAAGCGGGGCGTTAATTTAATTAAATTACCTTATTTAATATAACTATTAATTATTATAATTATTAGTTAATTTAATTTAATTTAAAAAGTTACAGAGCTGCACTGCAGCTGTACTGAATATGCTCTGCACTGAAGTTGTACTAATTTCATGTAATAATTGCATGATTGCACTAAATGCACAAAGTTTGCATAATATTTGAGGTGATATGCGCTGAGCTGCAAATAAGCTGCTACTGCCGCTGTCGTTGTTGTTGAGTGCGTTTAATGTTGTTGTTGTTGTTGTTGTTGTTGTTGTTGTTGAGTGCGTTTAATGTTGTTGTTGTTGTTGTTGTTGTTGTTGTTGTTGTTGTTGTTGAGTACGTTTAATGTTGTTGTTGTTGTTGTTGTTGTTGTTGTTGTCGCTGTTGTTGTTGTTGTTGTTGTTGTTGTTGTTGTTGTTGTTGTTGTTGTTGTTGTTGTTGTTGTTGTTGATGTTGTTGTCGTTGTTGTTGAGTGCGTTTAATATTGTGCTGATAACTGAGCTGCTAAGTTTACAGTCTTACAAAACAAAACATGTAACAAATAAGTTTTTTTAAGTTTCTTCTCAAGTTGTACATTAAATGTTCTTTTTAGTTTATTTTACTGTAGTTTTACTACTTTACTTCTGCATTACTTCTGCTTTTTAGTTCATTTTACTGTAGTTTTACTACACTTAAATTCTACATTTCTCCAGCTTTTTGGTTCATTTTACTGTGGTATTATTAAACTTTCCTGCCACATTACATCTACTTTTTATTTTTCCAACTAGTTTTATTACACTTGACGTTTTTGTACGTTGCAGTGTGACTGCGACGTTGGCTTTGAGGGAGACGTGTGTGACGTCAACATCGACGACTGCGTCGGCCACGCGTGTGAGAATGGCGCCACCTGTGTGGACGGCATTGCTAACTACACGTGTTTGTGCGTCGATGGATACACCGGGGACAGGTGAGGCAGCCGTCGCTGTACTAACTACTGCTGTCTACTAGTACTAGTAAATCTTCCGTACACTAGTGTGGAAAGTCGTGCGAGCAGAATTTTACAGCAAATGCTAACTGCGAGAAAATGCATATATTAATATTGTAATTTTCTCTTATATAAATATATTCCTTATAAGAAATTAATATGTCAATAACATATATATATGATTTAATATAATATCTAGAGGGCACCTTGTTGGTGGTTTCTATCGATGCTCGCTGGCCAGCATCACACGAAATATACACTAACAGTGATATGGTTTCCCTTGTGTTTGTAGGTGTTGAGATTGACGTGTCAACGCTTTAGCAGTGATGTTCTTTGGTTTGTAGGTTGAGATTGTCGTGTCAACGCTTACAGAGCATTGTTGCTTGTGTTTGTAGCTGCTGAGATTGGACGTGTCAACGCTTACAGCAACGTTCTTGTGTTTGTAAGTGTGTGAGAATTGACGTAGATGAAGTGTGCGACGTGATCCGTGTCAGAATCGGAGGCGTCTGCAGCGACCTCATCAACGACTACGAGTGGCAACTGTAGCGGCTAACTACAACACGGCGCCTCCTGTGAGATCCTGGTGAGTCGCGCGGCGACGACGGCGCCATGTTTGGGTCTATGCTCATGGCAAAGAATCGTGGTCGAAATGTTAAAGTTCACGCTTCGTTGACATGCATTTTACTAAATAAACAATCTTTATCATGCGTGGATTAAAGATGAATAAATAATTTAAAATAAAGATAATAATTAAAATGGATATTAACATAATACGTTTGGTTGTAGGTTACACAAGGACTGTCAATAGCAGCCCATGTCAGAACAATCGCTACCCTGCTATGAAACGACCCCATACAGTGAACAGTATGTACCATTAGCAGCAGGGAGGTGGAGAGAAAAGAGGGAGAGAAGAGGGGGGAAGGGAGAGAGAGAGAGAGAGGGAGAGAGAGAGAGAGAGAGAGAGAGAGAGAGAGAGAGAGAGAGAGAGAGAGAGAGAGAGGGAGAGAGAGGGTCACTCATATTGACCTGTCTATTACACGCGGCACAGTCCAGTGTCAGTCCTGTGGTTGCTGCACTCCTTCTTCTTACTCCTTCTACTTCTAACGTTAACCCTACACTACTTCTCTTCTCCCATTACTCACCTCAGTCACAGAATTTTGCCCCCCACCCCACCCACGCATTCATCTGGGAATTTGCTCAGGTTACGTCATTATGGACATTTTTAGGTACAGGTTATGAATATTAAAGCGAGTGATTAGGATAGAGGTGATTCACATCATAATACGGGTGGGCTTGTGCCCCTCTATAACGTAAAAGTATCAAATTTCAAGAGCTACAGTTACGGCCCTAGAGTTGCATCTCTTCGTCTTGCATCTGTCGTTTATTACGTTTACGTCCCGGGAGACGGACGGGTAAATCTAACCAGGGGGCGCCTCTGTGTGTCGTAGATTTCGTTCAACTGCACGTGCGTGCCGGGCTACGAGGGAATCGTCTGCGAGAACGTGATAGACTACTGCGCCGGCGACCCCTGCCTCAACGGCGCCACCTGTGAGTCGATAACGGAAGCTCTCGACTACTACTGCCACTGCGTGCCCGGGTACGACGATCGGAACTGTTCGACGAACATCGACGAGTGTGCGAGCGACCCGTGTATAAACGGCGGAACATGTATGGACGGCGTGGACGAATACACGTGCGACTGCTTACCAGGTACTGGTCACTGCATGGACGTGCAACGATGTGATTGTGTTGGTCTGTAGTCGCGATGCCTCCCGCGCATAATCCTTATTCAAATTCGTGCAACCACGTACTATATGTTGTAATATAAACGTCTTATAACTTTGTCGGGTCCAGACTATTAACATAAGAATAATAATAATAATAATAATTAATTCTTATATTAAGAGTATATAAGTATATAACATAAGTAAGATGTTATATTATAAGTTAGATCATGTAGGACTATGTTGGAATTGTGTTAATTGTAATTAAGGACATTACATTAGAATCGTATATAAGGCCAAGGCTAAACAAATCCATCACACCCTGAAGGTGGCAGTATTTCTGTTATCACATGGCATACGTTACGTTACGTAGTGATTCGTTCTGCGTCGGCGTTAATCCGTGTTGCCTACAAGTTGGATCGGTGAGAACTGAGCAGGATGTGGATGAGTGTGAGTCACGGTGAGAACTGTGAGCAGGATGTGGATGAGTGTGAGTCGGTAGCTGTAATCCGTGATGTTTTACAGGTTGGATCGGTGAGAACTGTGAGCAGGATGTGGATGAGTGTGAGTCGGACCCGTGTCAGAACGGAGGCGTCTGCGTCAACTACCCCGGCTTGTTCTTCTGCGAATGCAACGGTACCGCTACGAAGGTAGGTGGCGCTACTGTCCTCTCGCGTCGCAGGGTGGAGCGAACAGGAATGGCTGGCAGTGAATAATTGTATCCCCCCCGCCGACGGAAGTTCGCCGGGGATATATGTTGTCATGTCTGTCCAGCCGCTCGCCGCCGCCGCCGCCACTGCAGACCCGCCCGCTGCTACAGACACTTCCCTTCGTCTATAACTCGACCCTTAATTGACCAAGCGTGACCAAACTTGGTATACTTACACATCTTGGGAGAAGGGTCTCGCGTACCAAAACCAGGTCACTGCGACATTATTTGACCTTGACATAGACCTTGATCATGTTTCCCTTCCGCTCTATAACTCGGCCCCCTAATTGACCTAGCCGACCAAGCTTGTATACTTACACATCTTGGGGAGACAGGTGTGTCGCGTACCAAAACCCCTAAAGGTAACCAAATTTGACATACTTGCACATCTCTTTGTGACTTATTTCACTTTACCTACCTTGTACGTCTCCTTACGGAATATTTCATTTATACTAATCACGGGGGAACATGTATGTTGCGACAACTGCCATTTTTAGTTTATTAATAAATTTTCTGTCGAGTGTCGGTTGATTTTTCTCACTAGTAAATCTAGTGTGTCATGCTTGTAAATATTTTGTTTATGGTTCTGCTGTTGTCCTGTGCAGTGACGTATTTTTCTCAAATTACTTGTTTATTACTTTACTTTACTTATTTATTTATTTATTAAATTATACATTCAGTTAAAATGTATCAAAATGAACGACGTTTTTTCTTATAGCAGAGGTGCCACGGGGTTGGTATTTTTGCGTTTACCATGTCACGTCTACAACATTGTGTCAATAGTAATCTCACAGGTCTAACTCTCTCTCACAGGAACTTTAATCTTGCATTTATATAATATCGGGTGACTGTTGCAGGCCTGCTGTGTGAGATCGACATTAACGAGTGTGAGGACGAGAGCAAGTGTCTGAACGAGCGTCGTGCACCAAACTACCCCGGCGGATACTTCTGTAACTGCACGCTCGCTACGAGGGAGACGACTGCCAGATCGCCAACTGCTCGACCGTCGCTTGCGAATACTCCGCCAAGTGCTTCGTCGACCCGGTCAACGCCACCTGGTGGTGTGACTGCGCGCCGTACTACGCAGGTGTGAGCGAGGGCGAGGGTAACACCCGCGTGCGGTGATATGGTTCCGCGCACGCTCGCGCAGTTACGTTTTTACGTTTGTCGCGTTGGGGCGGATTTTCCCATTTCTTGTCCATTACGGAATTTGTGAAAATCCGTCAAATTCGAATTTGATTTTTATTTAATTATTTGCATGCTGGGAATTATTACTGCGTGTAGTATTGACGTGAAGAAGTGGTGAAATTTAATAGCATTAAATTGAGAGTGGGGAAGGGAGCAAGGTTGTCTAGTCAGTCCCACCGTAACAACGGATTAGTCAAACTAAATAAATAACTAAAAACTGATTAATTATGTACAATTATAGCATTGAATGAATTAACTACGTACGGTCATCAGAAAAAATATAACATATTAATAATAATATAATATTTATATAAAATTATAAGATCTGACGGGAAGAATAATCGCACGGACATTTTTCTGCGCAACAGGTGAACTCTGCGAGATACTCGGCGAATGTCTCGATCAGCCATGTCTAAACAAACGGAACATGCTACAGGATGACCTTGCGGGAACTACAGCTGCGACTGCGAGCATGGCTACGAGGATCACAACTGTTCGACCGTTATAGACTGGTGCGAGCGCGATCCTGCTGCAGTGTGTGAGAATGGAGGGACGTGCGTGACGGTGCCATCTACGGGCTGGTACTGCGAATGCCCCATCAACTTCGCAGGTAGGAGCGCGCCGCGAACGTTCTGTTGTCGACGGCAGCTGATGGGAAACGTCTTCTCAGAAATCTCCTTTGAAATCTTTCTGAGAAATCTTTGCTGATAGGAACAATTTGCTGCTTATATTGACTATGCTCTTGATGAAATTTCATTCCAAAATTTCTCTCATTTTCTAAGCGTGAGTGATTTCGTATTCACAGCTGCATTCTGCGTCTGTTTCTCAAACGAATAGTGACGTGGTGCCTGTGAGGGGTAGTTTTTACCTCAATAGCAATAATTATTGTCGTCCCTAGCTGCACGTTTGTAATTAGTGCAAACTAAACACTAACTACAAATACGGTAGGATACAGCAAAACACAGCACAACAACACAACACAGCACAACACCACACAACACAACACAACACAACACAACACAACACAACACAACACAACACGGCACGGCACGGCACGGCACGGCACGGCACGGCACGGCACGCACGACACGACACCGACACGACACGACACGACACGACACGGCACAACACAACACAACACAACACAACACAACACAACATCCTGCAACACAACTTCGACCTTCTTTCTCTCTCTCTCTCTCGTAGGTAACTCGTGTGAGATTCGCATCCCGGACTGCAGCGACGCGCTCTGTCTGCATGGCGCCACCTGCCAGAACGTGCCCGACCCGTACGGCTACGTGTGTCACTGCGCGCCGGGCTACACGGGCGAGGACTGTGAGACGGACATTAATGAATGCGAGGACGCTCCATGCAAGAACGGGGGAACCTGCACCAATCTCATCGGTTACTACGAGTGTGACTGCAGCGGCACAGGTACGAGTGTGCGTGTATGTGTGTGTTGTGCTGTGTGTGTGTCGTGTGTGTGTGTGTGGTGTGTGTGTGTATGTGTGCATGCGCATGCGCGCGTGTGTGTGTCGTGCGTTGTGTGTGTGGTGTGCGCATGTGTGGGTGTGCGTGTGTGTGTGTGCATGCATGTGTGCATGGCGTGCGTGCGTGCGTGCGTGTGCGTGCGTGTGCGTGCGTGGGCGTGTGCGTCGGCGTGTGTGTTGCGTGCGTGCGTGTGTGTGCATCAGCTGCATGAACTCAGCGCGTGTATAACACGCCATGATAACTGATAATATTTCGTCTGCAGGTTACACGGGTCAGAACTGTACGGAAGACATTGACGAATGCGAGGACAATCCCTGCGCAAACGGTGGAACGTGTTACAGTAAGCCTCACGTTTTCTCGCATATTATTTCATATCTCGATTTACTTATTATATTAATCTTCGCTTCGTGTTTACGTCGTTGAGGTGAATAATCAATCCCTCCACGTTATATGTCATTGTAATCTACGCCATGTTGTTATCACACCTGCCACCACGGTTACCAGGGCGCGTAGGTAGCAAATGCCTGGGGGGGGCGAGTGACGGATCCACGATTTCTAGGAGGGCGTGAGCAATAGGAGGGGGGTCTGGGGTTTCAAAATTTTGAAAATGTAGATCGCAGGAGATGGTATTTGAGGCACCTTTTGAGTACATGTACAGCCTTCATTCTGACTACGACAATTCTCTTTTAGTAGAACAATTAATTTTTTTAATTTTGCTCCGAAATCTAGGGGGAGGGCAGCTACCCCCCCCCGCCAGGCTACGGCCATGGTTACCTTTGTATCGGTGAAGTTACAGAGAAAAATACCATCAGGAGCTAATGATACCTAGTTGTTATTAGTTCCTGATGATGTTAGGAGGAAAAATGATCACCGAGACGTTAGTGATAAGGTGATGAAGGGAAGAAGTCTAGGTAGATCTAGATAGGATCTATTAATGGACTACTTTGTCTGAGCGGTCACGCATGTAGTTCCGTATTACTACGCGACGGTTCACCCCCCTTCCAATCGGTAACCATCACGCATCGAATTACTCCAATTAAAAAGTAAAATTTGATAATAATTGATGTCTAATAACTAACTCTAACTCTAACTATAACAGCTGTTCCTCCTTCTATGTAAACTTTCTCCTATAAACTATTAACACACACTGTGCTGACTTTATCCTACATCTCGCGAGAACACGCGTGATAGTAACAGCACCATGCCTCTTCCGTCTGCGCAGACTTTCGGGGAGACTTTAACTGCACGTGTACTGCTGGTTACATCGGCTTGCTGTGCGGCCACGCTGACGGCTGCCACCCGGCCCCACACTGCAAGAACGACGGCACGTGTATGAACGTGCTCGATTTAGCCACGGGAAACTACACGACCGTCTGCGAGTGCAAGGACGGATACGATGGACCGACGTGCACAGAGGAGGTAAGCGGTGGAGTAGTGTATGTGTGTGTGCGCGCGTGTGTGTTTGTGTATGTGTGCGCATGCATTTGTGAGTGTGAGTCTGTGTGTGTGCGTGCGTGCGTGCTCGCGCGTCTATGCTTTCATGATATTCATGTCTGTGTGCATATGTGGTATGTGCACGTGTGTGCGTGCGTGCGCATGCATGCGTGTGTGCGCCTGCGTGTGCGTGCGTGCGTGCGCACGCATGCGTGTGTGCGTGTGTGCGTGTGTATGTACGTGTGTCAACACGTGTGCGTGAGAATATGTTTCCATATGAGCGAATCTCGACTGCGTAATGCGATCTGCAGACCCCAGCAGCCCCCCCTCCCCCGCGGCGACGACGACTAACACGTGGCGCCCTCTGTTGTTTGCGTACAGCTGGTGAACACGGCGCGTCTGGTTGGCATCATCGTCGGCGTCATCCTCGCCGCTCTCCTCCTCATCGGCATCGTCGTGCTCGTCGTCATGGTGATGACCGCGCGGAAGAAGCGCGCCACGCAGGGAACCTACAGTCCGTCTCGACAGGAGATGTCCGGATCGCGGGTGGAGATGGGAAGCATCATGAAACCGCCGCCAGAGGAACGACTCATATGATCGCCGCCAGGTGGCGCCGCCCGAGGAGCGATTCATGATCGCCGCCAGGTGGCGCCGCCCGAGGAGCGACTCATGATCGCCGCCAGGTGACGCCAGGCGAGTGCGACGGTCGGCGATGGCGAAGGACGCTCCATTGTTGACGGACTCGCTCGCAGGTGGCGGCAGCGGTCGGGGCGCGAGGGACGTTCCGTTGTCGACGGACTTGGATTGTCGTGTGCTGACGACGATGGCGCCTTGCTCACAGCCGCGGCACCAGGTGGCAGCAGCACCGCGCGGGAACGTTCGATTGTTCTATTGTTTCGCACGGGTTCTCGCTGAACTTGTAGGATGCTCATGCGTCTGCTCGCTCGTCCGCCTTCCCGCCCGCGCACCTGCCTGCGTGTCCCTGTGCAGTACCAATAGTGTGCACAGGGCCAGCTCTGTGGCACTAACACTACCGCACTATACGGTGCGGAGTGCACGCATGATATTAGTGCCAACGTCAGCGTTCAGGATCACGTGCATCTGTGCGGAGTCGGCCGGGCACTAATGCCGCACAGCGGGAACGCGCGGCATTCCGGGGAACCGGAGAACTTCCGGAATCCAACAATGTGCGGAGCCACACTCGATTATTCCGTCTTCATTGGCAAATTTGTTCCGAATTTCTAGCGAATTGCGAGGTTCTAGCAGATTGTGAGTGTCGTGCGTTCGTTCCGAGGGCGGGTGCTGTGATTGTGTACAAACTTTATATAGGTAATGAGTGATTGTTTGAGCCTGAATTCGATAATGATGACGAAATATAATCGGAAGAAATGGTAGAGAGGAAATGGTCTATTTAAGTATTGTCCCTATCAGTTATTTTTACTTGAGCTTCATCAACATAAGGCAGCAGAGCCCGTGGTTACTACCGATATGCATGTTCACGTGTACGATACAATCCTTCTCATTTCCGCATGTAAAGTTTCTTAGTAGATACAAATTACCCAACCCTTGTACAGGTGGCACTAATAGTTTTGTTACTCAAAAACTATCAAAATGTGTAATGCTTGTAAGCTGTCCATGTATTATGGTAGAATAGGACGTGATGGGTGCACTGTGCATGTAAAAATGCATTCCATCTCGTATCCGATTCAGAAAAGTTTTCTATTTTGTCTCAGATTTCAAGGTTTAAAGGCTGATAACGAAAAGCATGCCATGGTCACAATACTTAAGTTGATCATTTCTTTGACTCTGATCTGCTCTGAATGCAGGTCGAATGAGTTTAGAGATTTAATTGAAAAGGCAGCTAGATTTTATTCACAGAAGTTTTTTACGTGTGGAATTGATATAGATATCAACTTTCTGAAACGTCTTAGGGACCATGATCTATAATTCTCCTTTTATCTGTATTGGCGTTTATAGTTGGTTTAATCAGTGGTTAGGTGAATGGTCAGAAAAAATCCTAAGCAATTTCACTGATAAAATCCCGGAATATAAGGTTCATTTTAAGGTGATTTTAAATGTGAAGTTATATGACATCTATCCTTGAGATATTTAAGACTATATTCTATAGCTGCTCTTGCTGATTTTTTTACCATGTAAATCTATAATGCGGGCAAACATGTAATAAGCGAATATCTGCCAGCTTACCTTATATTTTACATCAGCAGATGAGGAGATATATTATTATAAGTGCAGAGGTGTGTATTATTAGTGTATGATGCTAACTTATTGTGTACATATATAGGGGCCTACTGTTGCACACTCTACATTTAATTAGCTTGTGATTTGTGTGAGAAAAGTATGAAAATGTTAAATCACGTGCGATCTTACGCGCCTACTCGCCCGTCCACTGTTTTAATATAGTGTCACATCCTCCGTTTTTTCCAAGGTCATGGAGGTTATTGTTATCCGAATCGTGCCTTTTTTATTAGGAAACCACGAGCAGGGAGTCCACGAGTGATGATTGTTAGCCGTCGCACTGGACTAGGCTTATGTTGTCAGGGAGTAATATGAAAGGTAGCTCCAATGAGTGGTGGCGTTGTAGGTAGTAGATGGTTATGAAAGTCATCTATAGCTCGAACCATCGTAGTTCTATTCGGTAGGCGTCGTTCCCGGTATTTGGTGCGGTGTGGTTTGTGTGGAGGGTTGTTTATTCACCGCGAACCATCGCACAACCGACATCATAGTGTAGAGAAATAATCCCACGTCGTCGTAGTCACGTGGCGTCATCTGGTGGGCAGCCTGAATTTAGTTCTACGTGATTCACTCGTTTTACTCGATTTAACGAAAGTCATCTATTGTAAATGTAATCTGTCTTTTTAATCTAATTGTAAACAGCAGGCGATAGCATACAGTGGATCGTTGGTCGCATTTCGTGCGCACATTCCATGTTCGGGTACAAAGAACGCGTGGTTAAATATGATTATTCGTGTATTTTTTTAATACGTAATTCGTACAGTTGTAAATAATCGTGTATATTTAAAAATGTAGACGGTAGATGATTTTTACTCGGACAAGTTTATACGACGAAAACATGTAACAATGTCACACGGACACCATCGTGTGTGTGTGACGATGTCTATAATGTTTATATACCATCCAGGGAACAACAACATTTATACACAAACACATTCCCATTACGAGCAATGTGATAAGAAGCTTTGCATTTGCTTTGAAGATGTATAATATTTGCACACGAAAATCTGTAACTATCTATAACGGTAAAGTTTTCGTCTGATATGTTTACAATCGGTTACTTTAATAACAATATCAATGTGAATCATGGTCACGGGTTCAGCATACGAGACTGACTGGCCATGCGCGCGTTATATCTGACGTCGCAATAGTTCAATCATTTTACAGTCGATATCAGATCAATCTATTTCGCATCCATCTTGGCGATTACAGTAAAGATATAATGTGTGTGAATTCCACGCTCGGGTGCGTAATGGTACTAAACAAAGTCATTGTGGAGAGCGAAATCGGTAGCCGAGCCCGTAATTCCCCGCTGTCTGATGGTGGGGTGGCCGCCATGACAGTTGACGCCCGCCTTGTGATGATGGTATTGCATAATAAAGATGTCATCATCGTACTCTTTACACAAAACTGTCTATCCAACACTCGTTCTCTGTTGTTACATTGAGCTTGTCTCGCATTCCGTCCGCGCCATGACAGCAACAAAGGGCGATGTTGTTGTTGTTGTTCTGTTGCTGTTGTCTGCTGTCGTTGTTGTTGCTTGTTGTCTAGTTATATGATTGCTGTTGAGTTGTTGTCGTTGTTTGTTGTTGTTGTTGAGTTGCTGTTGCTAGTTGTTTGCTGTTGCTGTATTATTGTTGTTGTTGTTGTTGTTAATTGTTGCGGTTCGTTTTGTTGTTGTTGTTGTATATTGTTTGTGTTTGTTTGTTGCGTTGCTGTGCTTGAGGCTGCTGCTGCTTGTGTGTACTTTAAAACAAATGATGCAGTTCATAACAACAGATATCGTCTGTTAAGTTCAATTCTAGTCAAATCTTTCACAACTAATGGTTCTTACCTGACAAAAATTGCAAACAGAATAAATTTCTGGCTTGCAAGTACTCTGAAACCCTCGCCAAACAATATATCAAAAGTAGAAAAAAGAAGTGGGAAAAATTGCTAACATTGCATAAAAACGAAAACGAGCCGGCGTGCGCGCGTATTTTCACTAATATATGTACGCCCACCCCCCTGATATTAGTAAAAATGATGCCATTATATCACATAATATTTGCATTGATATGATCACTGCATATTTTCCAAATACATTTGAGCAAGAGATTTTCCAAGATGGCCGCCATTTTCCCAACAAAATCTAATTATCACTAATTAATAAGATAATAATCTGGTTTTGATGGCTGCTGTGCTAATGTGCATGTTTCAGGCTCTGGTAGATTTAAATGTGATGGTTACAATGTATAAAATAAACATTTCGCATCCTTTTGGGAACATTTCCCAACATTGTTTAATCACTAATAATCCTGATATATTCAATTTCCACTTTTGCCATAATAAAGATATTCTTAATAACATATAGCAACAATTGTCATTTACATTTTTCAGAGTCATTCAAACGCAACCTTACCTTGCATGCATGTTTAAACTTCAAAGTTCCATTACTCATCAAATGAAAAGGCTGCAATAAAAGTGAACAACCCCTAAATGTAATAATTAATAAGTTGCACCTGAAATATCATTTTATACCAGTTTAAGAAAAAGCATAATTAAGAATTTTGCAGAGAACTAATTTGGTATGCCACTGAACTCGTTGATATGAAATGTAAACATGAAACGATGGTGTCACGTAGAATTTCTGTAACACTGCCGTAGAAAGAATGTCCATATCACTTGGTTTAAAGAGTTATAGAACTAAATATGGCATACAATAGCCTCTTAAAAGCTCCTCGCTCAAGCTCTAAATGGGTACCTTGGCGAAAATTTGTACAGTTTATACCATTGCATTGCCGCACACTACTGAGTATTCAAAGCCAGCTTTGCAGGTACATTTCCCGTGTATCCACAGGTCCTGTTTTCAGTACAACGGATCTACCTTCATAAATGTCTGTAGGCGGTTGGCAAGTCCGTTTTCATGGTTCAATCTATCTGCCACTCGATAACCAACCTCCAATCTCTGGATTCCAAGTTGGAGAGAAAGTTTGTACTTCATACACTGTGTACATGAAAATATCAAGAGGCTAATAAATAAATACACATAACAAATAACAATATAATACATACAATACACATACAATACTAGTACAATACAACAACAATAAAATACAATTACAGTACAGAGAGCAAAACATACAACACAGTACAATGCAAAGGTATTATTATAAGCCTTGAAAATATTATCACGAGCGCTATGGAGCGAAGCAGCTGCTGCAGTGGAGGGGGGGAAGCGTGTGATACTTGTTTGTACTGAAAGAGTACTGTGAGACTTTTTCTCGTGAACCCCTTACTCGACGTTCATCGAAGCTTCGCAGTGTACCGCCCAAGACAATACCTTCTCACCAGCAGGAAGTATCGCATCTACCGGACTATATGTCACGCGTAGATCGAGCTGCATGCTCGGCCACGGTAGCAGAGATCGCCTGTCACCAATAATTAACGATTAATTCGCCTAATAATGTATAGAATGTAGAATGCGTCTCGCGAGCGAGGTTGGTTAGCGACGGATGGCAGTATAAACTCAAACAAGAAAGCTAGTGTATGAATATCTATGTGACAGTGTAGGTGTATGTAGTGTAGTGTATTGGTAGTAGTATTGTAGTGTAGTGTAAGTGTATGTAAGTGTAGTGTATGTGTAGGTGGTATGTGTAGTGATAGTGTAGTGAGTGTAGTGTAGTTGTAGTACGTGCTGATTTATAGGTTTCGCATAGGCTATAACGAGCTAGTGTTACACTCATATTAAACCTAGTGATGCTAGTAGATTATGTTATTTTTTTATACGAATCTTATATTTCGCATGGTCTTTAAGTTTACGGGGTTTACTGAAATGCGTTTAAATCTACATTCTCAGCAGAAGACGCGTGCATGCAGGAGCTGCGCAGGTGAAACATCGTCAGCTACACATTACTATACAACTTAATTTACTATTAGTCTATTACCATTACTATATAACGTCCCACGACGTAGGTACTGGTATCACTTATATCCACTGGATGGAATTATACTTTTTATTTATTCTTTTATAATATTTTTATTTGATTAAGTGAAGTGGAGTGAGGGGGAGGAATTGAGGAGGAGGGAGTGATGGGGAGGAATTGAGGAGGAGGGAGTGAAGGGGGAGGGAGTGAGGAGGGAAGTGAGGGGGAGGAATTGAGGAGGGGGGAGTGAGGGGAGGAAGTGAGGGAGAGGAATTGAGGAAGAGGGAGTGAGGGGGGATGGAGTAAGGGTGAGGGAGTGAGGGGGGATGGAGTGAAGGGGATGACTACTGCTGCTACTGCTGCTACTGCTGCTGCTGCTGCTGCTGCTACTAGCTGCTGCAACTGCTACTGCTACTGCTGCTACTA